GGGTTCCTAATTCCCTCAAATCAAAATTAGACCCAACACTTGCCTCGTTCTGCAAGCAAATCAAAGCTCAATCGGGGCCTTTCCTCTAAAATTTGCCTCCAAACCATTCGGATCTAACAAAAATCGACTTAATATCAACAAACAATGCTAGGGAAATCAATTACAATATATAAAGTTAAAATCTTTACACTTTTCCCAAAAAGTCAACAAAAGTCAACCCCAGACTCGCTTGGTCAAAACCCGAGATTCGGACAAAAATTCAATTACAAATTTACCCCCGAGGCCGATTACGCAATTATTTCAAAATCTGGCCTCTATTTGAGGTTTAAATCTTAATTTTACAAAAATATTCAATTCTACCTAAACCCTTAATTTTCTACCATGAAAGAGCTTATATTAAGGTTAAAAATCAACGGGTGTTGATGGAAATGGAAGAAAACGAGTTAAAGTATATTAATCTATGAAATGGTGATAAAATATATCTTCAAAAATGCCTTAAGGCCGAACTCTAATGTGAAGATGGTGAAAAATGCGTGAAATCCCGATTTTTAGAAGTTTTAAAGTCTAGGCGCGCCAGGTGTTCTTCGCATTCGCGAAGCACCTAACGCATTCGCGAAGAGCACTGGCCAAAAGGCCATGTAACGACCCGGCCGGTCGTTTTGAGTATTACAACCCCGTTCCCCTATTTACTTCTCAATTTATGCTTTATAATTGTTATGTGACTCGCCGGGGTGGTTAGTTAGGGTCTGGTGAGGTTTGAGAATGAATTGGGGCACTTAGTTCCAAGGTTTAAAGTTTAAGTTAAAATAGTGACCGGATGTCGACTTATGGGTAAATAACCCCGGAATAAAATTTTCTGATTCCAATAGCTTTGTAGGGTAATTTTGGACTTAGGAGTGTGCCCGAAAAATTATTTGGAAGTCCATAGTGGAATTAGGCTTGCAATGACGAAAGTTAAATTTTTTGGAAGTTTGACCGGGGGTGGGGGGTGACTTTTTGATATCGGGGTCGGAATCTAGTTCTGAAATTTTTTATATCTTCGTTATATCATTTATGACTTGTGTACAAAATTTGAAGTCAATCGGACTTGATTTGATAGGTTTCGGCATCGAATGTAGAAGTTGGGAATTCTTAAGTTTCTTAAGCTTGAATTGTGGTATGATTCATGATTTTAGCTTTATTTGATGTGATTTGAGACCTCGTATAAGTTTGTATCATGTGTTTGGGACTTGTTGGTATGATTTGAAGGGTCCCGAGGGGCTTGGTTGTATTTTTGGATCATTGGTTGAGAGACTAGTAAAGTTAAGAAATTTGGGAGTTTGACCATGGTCAATATCGGATCAATATTGGGTTAAGACGACCTCTTTTAAGTGTTTTGAGAGCACGAGCAGGTCCGTAGCATGTTTTATGATTGAAATTCATATATGATTTGTGTCCGGGAGGTTCCGGATGAATTTCAAGGTGGTTTCGTATCATTTCAGAGAAGTTTGAGTTTGCTGGTTTCTAGTGAGGTACTGTTCATTCGCAATTGCGAACTATTTATCGCAATTGTGAAAACACTGTTCATTCGCAATTGCGAACCATTTATCGCAATTGCGAAAACACTGTTCACTTGCAATTGCGAACAATTTGTCGCAATTGTGAACATTGTTCATGGGAGGTACTGTTCATTCACAAATGCGAACCTCGACAGAATGTTTAAGATGTGAAAATGGGACCATTTTTACCAAATTGGAGCTCGGGAAGAGGCGATTTTCGGGAGATTTTCAAGGAAAACGACGGGGGTAAGTGTTCTTAACTCAATATTGGTCAAATTACTCGAATCCATGGTTATTTTTAACATTTAATTGGTGAATTAAGTTGGAAGATTTAGAAAAACCTCTTGGATAAAAGTGAGGATTTGAGGGCCGAATTGTTGTCGGAAATTAGTAATTTTGGTATGGTTAGACTCGTGGTTGAATGGATTGTCGGATTTTGTGAGCTTCGTCGGATTCCGAGACTTGGGCCCCACAGGCAATTTTTGGGTTAAAATTCAGATTTTTGTTAGAAAAAATTGTATTTTCTTATGGAATTTATTCCTATAATTTGTATTTATTGAATCAAATTAATTATAATTAGATTCGAGCCGATCGGAGTTGGAAAATCAAGAAAAGGGCATACTACTTGATTGATTGGGCGTGGTTCGAGGTAAGTGACTTGTCTAACTTTGTGGGGAGGGGGGAGGGAGGGGAGGGAATTTTCCTTAGGATTAATGTTGATATGATAATTGTGATGTGTTGAAAGTCGTGTACACGAGGTGACGAGTATGTACACGGATTAAATATGGAAGATTATGTCTTTAAATTGTGTAGATCATTGTTGCATATTAATTAAATTATTTGATCTTGTTATATTCTGTATCATTGATTTAATTTCTATACTTTAAATTTGCTTGACCTTTTCTTGCTAATTATTTTACCTGCTTAGTTGAAACTTGGTTTCTTTTATTCTGTGCATTATTTGAAGGTTGAATTTCTTTAATTTAAATATTATTAATACGAAGTAATTGATATTTTAAATTTGGTATTGAGGCAACGTGTTAAAAATTATAAAAATTATATTTTTGCTGAGTTATTTATTCCCGAATATTTTGAGAGATTTTTGTACTCATTGTGATTGAGCCGTGAGCTCCCTATTGTAGAAAATATTGTTGTTGTTGATTTATTTTGGCAATTTGAAATATTTGAGCACTTGAGGTGCAGATTGTGATATATTGTGATATTGATATGCATGCGGTAGTATAAGGTCTGGATGTTGAAACGCATGCCGTGAGATAAGGGTGGCTTGATACGCGTGGCTAGTTGGGGAACTACTAGAAGTCATGCGATGTGATAAGGGTGGCTAAAATGCGGGATGCTATTTCGGGGAAAATGATTTCTTTAAAATTTAATATGAAGCCCGCGGTGATATAAGAAAATATGATATTGTGAATCTATTTATGATTTGGGACTACGAGGCGGTAGCTCGGGAGTTCCCTTGTTGATATTTCTTTATGGCTACATTTGCCTTTGATTATTGTCGTGATGTTTCTTAAAGTTGTAAATTTCTGTTTTCTTTCCGCGAGGTATTACTTTCCCTTATTTTGTGTAATTTAATGGTGACATTCTACTTACTTGATTCATTTCCATTGTCATTTATTGTTATTATGTTGTTAAACATTTCACCATGTCTTTTATTATTCCAGTAGGGCCTGACCTGACCTCGTCACTACTCTACCGAGGTTCGGCTTGGCACTTACTGGGTACCGCTGTGGTGTACCCATACTACGCTTATGTACATCCTTTTGTGCAGATCCAGGTACTTCCTACCAGCCTAGATATCAGTGAGCTACCTGTGTATGGAGACTTCGAGGTATATCTGCCTGCGTCCGCAGACTCTGGAGTCCCCTTCTATCCTTATTATGTTGCTTCTTTATTTTCTTTAGACTCTGATATATAGAGACATTGAAAAAAAATTCTTAGAAGCTTGTGACTTATTCCTACCGGGATTTAGAAGTTGTAATTATGTGAATTTCAGATTTATTTATTTCGCATTGACAGGCCTACCTAGTCATAGAGACTAGGTGCCATCACGATATCCCACAGAGAGAATTTGGGGTCGTGACATGCCATCATGATCGCGGTCACCTTTTCACGTTCGCGAAGGCTTATCCCCCATTGCCTTCGCGTTCACGAGCCTAGGCTCGCGTTCGCATAGAGTGACCTACCTAGCTCCCCCAAAACCCCACAAACCTTCGCGTTCGCGTGTGGGTGGTCACATTCGCGAAGGGTAAGCCTCCCAAAGCTTCGCGTTTGCGAGTTGTTTCCCGCATTCGCGTAGAGTAAAACCACCCTAGCCCCAAGTTCCCCTTCGCAATCACGATAGTGGCTTCGCGATCGCGAAGCACAAAACACCAGACAACAACAGACTTAAAACCAGCAATAGCCTAAGTCTAAAAATCACTTCATATCCTATCTGAAACTCACACGAGCCCCTCGGGCTCCAAACTAAACATGCACATAAGTGTAATAACAACGTATGAACTTGCTCGCGCGATCAAAACACCAAAATAAAAATAGAACTACGAATCAAACATCCAAATGAATGACATTTTCAAAGAAACTCAAGAACAAGCAATTTTACAACGGGACGTCCGAATTACGTCAAATCAACTCTGTTTTGCACCAAATTTTGCAGACAAGTCATAAATACTGAAATGAACTCATATCAAGTTACAGAACCAAAATCCGAATCCGGTAGCAACAAAGTTAACCTACGGTCAAACTTAAAAATTTTTTAAACCTTTAAATTACTAATTTTTAATAAATCACGTTAAATCAAGTTAAGGACTTCCTAATTCGATTCCGGGAATACGCCCAAATCCCAAATCACGACACCCCCGGGTCCTCTTACACAAAACGTTGACCGTAGTCAACTCAAATGAGTTTTAAGGCAAAATTTCATATTTTCTTCAATTTTTCACATAAAACTTTTTCGGAAAAAGACACGGACTGAGCACGCAAATCGAGAAAGGCTAAACGGAGCTATCCGAGGTCTCGAAACACTGAAATAAAGGTTAAAACTATAAATAACCTATCGGGTCATCATAAATATGAGTATGAAATAAAACAACATTGACCGTGAGAATATATATAGCCGACCCAACTTGTGTTTGATTGATGTTTATATTCTTTACTTCATTCTTATACTCTTAAGAATATTATTGAGTATATAAACTTCTAGAGTAATGTTTATCGTTTGGAATATAGTTTGGAGATTTAGTAAATATTTAAACATAGGAGTAGGTCACAACTTGCAATATAAATATGCATATATCACTGACATCCCCATGCTATGCTCATAGGAAAATTTCTTCTTCTAATATCCGTTGAATATTTAACATCCTTCTGTTCTTTCCAATATTTTCTTCATTCCCAACTTTTCTATCTTCCTATTGTCAGCATATACAGTTCTCAAAAACCATGGATTTACATGATATTACACAATCCATCAACAATATTGAAATGACTCAATTTCTGTCAAATCACAACTCTAATTATATGATGTGCAACTCAATCGATGAACATAACGCGCTACATCTTTTACCAATCCACGACGAGACTTTTGATATTGAGAAACTGAGTTCAATGGATGCAATGAGGGAGATGATTTTTCGTATGGCGATGATGCAACCTATTCACATTGATACAGAGTCAGTAAAACCGCCTAAGAGAAAGAACGTGAAGATATCAAAAGATCCACAGAGCGTTGCAGCTAGGCATCGGAGGGAAAAAATAAGCGAGAGGATAAGGATTTTGCAGAGACTTGTTCCTGGTGGTACAAAAATGGACACAGCTTCTATGTTAGATGAGGCTGTTCATTATGTTAAGTTTTTGAAGAAACAACTCAAATCTTTGGAACAAGCAGCTGCTGTTAATAGGCCAATGATTACTGGATTTTCCACAACATTAATGGCACAACCTGTGGATTATTTAAGTTCTTTTAGGTCATGCCAAACTCCTCATTTGATGAGCTCTAATGCACAAATGCTAAGTTAAGTGAAGTGAAAGAATAATGTATTTAAATCATGAATATGTTCATTTAGTTTTTGTAAAGATTTGGTTCATACGGAGTACTAGTCTTCCCTTTTGGATTTAGAAGTCTCGAGTCTCCCAACACTGAGTGGATCTTTTCTTTTCGTTGTATGAATCAATGCGATAAAAGGTTGAATCTCAATGAAGTAGGAAGGTCAAAGTCAATCGATCTCTTGCTGTACTTATAATTTTGTTAACAATTCAATGAAAATGTGACCATTGCAAATGTAATTTTCCTTTTTGTTTTTCTAAGCATAATTAGAAGTGTTTTTGTTTTAATTACGAGTTAACATTTCCTAAAACAACTAGATAGAAGAGTATGACTTAAACAAATATTTATAACATGGAGGGATTAAAATTAGAAGATTCCATTATGGAGCTATTGGAAGTATTTTGTTTGTATTACAAAAGGATAAGAGATCATAATTCAGGTTTTTTATATTTTTCATTTGATTCTCAGAATAAGGTAAGTTTTGAAACATGGGAATTAGGAGGTCATTATACTCTATTAGTTAGCATTTTCTCTTCAACATTATCAGCTCAAGCTATAGAATTTCATTAAGTAATTTTGTCGATTCAAGAATTGCTATATAACCTAAGTTTGTAAAAGCTTATTATATTCTTTATTAATTGGTTTACGTATCATTAACTCGAACTAGCGTAAACATATTATCAATAAATTTACAATCCGTTTTCAATTAAGCACTCGAATATCAATCCTTTTAATATTAAGCATAACAACCCTATAATTACGATGGAGTAAAAAAACAAATATATATGATTAGCATTTTCAAATGAAGTAGACTTATAGACGAAGAATTAGTAGTAGATTATAATCGAATACTCAATTATTATTAATAATAATATGATCTATGATCTGCCCAAATATTTTATTTTGGTTTTTCATTCGGTCTCGAATACTTGTTCTAAGGTCTAACTAATTTCATGTCATGTAAGACCCATTGAAAGAAAAAATATTTGTTATCAGATTTTTTTTATTCTCAGAGCTCAAATATGCAACTTCTGTCATAAATTCTATCCATCATATTAGAATTAGAGACATGCACCTTGTTGCATGCGGTGTCACGAGACACTCCTTTGTAATTCTTTTTACTAGATATATATAAAAAAAATAAAAATATTAAGGATAAATATTTATATTAATTTATTATTTACAATGATTTATTTATTATTTCACTTTTTTTAAAATTGTAATACCACTTATAAAATATCCAAAGTACACCACTGATTAGAATAAGATGGCAACATAATAAAAACAATATGATTAGTTTCCCGATGAAGCCGTATGGCAGTAGAAATATGAATGGTGGTGCCAAGTGTCACAAAATGTGGACACTCCAATTAAAGAAATTGTTCATGTATTGACTCCTAAGAGACAAAATCATGGATTGTTCCTATCAATGGAAACCAATCAATGTTGTGTAATCCTTATGCTTTATTTTTTATTTTTCGTGATATAAAGATTAGAGCACTTAGAATATACTTTTTATTGTCAAATTTTGCATTTTGCAACCTACCCAACTACTCGGTGCATTGTACTTTTTACTTCAAATTGGATCTATGCAATGCACGGAAATTGACTTCCTTGTATTTTCCGTTATTCTTTCTCCTTTTTTGTTCTTTTCTAGTTCATGTCAATTGAAAAATAATAATGAAATAGTTTACTTTGTCTCATTTTATGTGATGCATTTTTATTGAGCACGAAATTAAAATAAAAAAAAGACTTTTAATACTTATAATCTAAAACAAATTATAGATATTTGTGTAATTATAAATCATCGCATCTAGGCTAATATGAGAAGCTTAAAGCTAAACTATTTTCAAATATAACTTATTTTTTTAGGACAGACTGAAAACGTATCATTGTGTTAATTAAAAAAAAATTCGTCACATGGATCAATTAAATGGTAACACGTGTCAGCAAAATTACGAAGGAAATGAAGAATGACGTGTAAAGTACACTGAAACTAAACATATTAGTACTGTAATATGTTAAATAGTGTTTATGATGTTTTTGACCACAACTTTGAGATTGGTATCTTCTACGGGCGTAGAAAGTTTGTCGCATGATGTGATTGACTCCTGAATTAAGTTAGGTAGTGTGCTTCTGAGCCATGGAGTGCTTATGAAGAGAACTATCCTACTTGTGATTCAGAGTTGATAGCAGAATTCTCGTATTTTCACATGGCAGCATGATAAATGCAGTGAGTCATGTGAGATTGGGATTGAATAAAAAATGTTGCAGTTCATTTTCAAAAGGAAGGTTATGAATTTGAGTCAGCATGAGAGGTCTCGACTGCTTAAGAGGGTGATGGTACTATCTTGATGTCACCTGAGAAGGGTGTGGGTTGTATATGTCATGACCCAAAACTACCACCGATCGTGATAGCGCTAACCCACTTGCTAGGCAATCCAATTATGAAATATTAACGAAATATGATAACGAATTACAGAATAAATAAGTCTGGAAGATAAATAACCATAGATAATATAAAATCATAATAGAACTCCCCAGAACTGGTAACACTGAGGCATGAGCTTTACAGTATGAATACAAGTCTGAAATACAAAAATACTATCTAAAACAACAATAGCAAATAAACATAGGAAGAGATGCCACTGACTACAATCAGAAAGCAGCTCTACCTCGATCTCCAAAACACAACGAACATATCTTCTCATAAAGCTAGACTAGATCCAACTCCTGAATATGCACAATTAAGTACAGAGTATAGTATGAGTATAACCGACCTCATATACTCTATAAGTATCATGACTAACCTCGGCGAGGTAGTAGTGACAAGAATTGCTAATGATACTCACTTAACAACCTGCTCAGTTCATAAATATCCAAGTATATAGTAATAGTACCAAACTAAACGTGAAATAGAGTTATAACCATATCAATGGACATAAAGAAGATGTGCCCAAGTCTTATTACAGTTTTACAACTCAATATATAGAGAAGATATGCATTTATCACCAAAAGATCATCAACCTTAGCATATACAGAAAATACATATTAAGAATCAAGTCAATGTGCACAGATTAACATATAGAGAAGAAATGTACCATGTCTTTACTTTTCAGTCAAAACAACATACACTACTAGAAAATATAAAATTTTCGATCATTAAATCGATTAAAAATCAGTCGGAAATCACTTATTCCCGACAGATTTCCGACGATAATGAAGTGATCGAAATATAGATGGTCGCAAAAAAATTTCGACGAAAACAGTCAGATATTTGAGACCAAAACATTCGCAAAGAGGAAAAAACTAGGAGACCGGCTAAATTTGACTTTTGCGACCGAAACGGTCAGTAATTTTGTGACCAAAACAGTCACACATTTAAAATAAATTATTAATTATTTCTTGACAGTTCCGACCATTTTGGTCGATAATTTTAGTAATTAATTTAAATTAAATTCATAATTTCCGATCAAATCTGTCAAAAAAATTAAAATTAAATTAAAAAATAATTAATTTTTTCGACCACTTCAGTCGTAAATCTGGGAATTCCCAGCTAAGTTTTCAGTCTAAACTCATATTACATTCAAGATTAGTACTATCGATCATCATCGATTTTAGTCTCCTCATTGTTAAATTCTTTCATTGAATGTTGTTTTCCATGATTTGCCATGAATGTCCGCATCATACTTATTGTTTCTTGAGCATTATTCTATTGTTGAGATAATTCATCGATTTACGTCCGTATTTTCTCAATTTCTTCGGGTGAAGCAGAAACACCACTAAATAATGCGGTTGGACGACTGGATGATGGCTGCGCTCCAAGTCCGTAGACTTTACTTTTATTTATTTTCATGAAAAATAAAAAATATATATATTTAAATGAGCAAGAGAAGAAACATACAACTTGTGCAAAATAATATTAAAACGAAGTCATATATAAAAAAATATAAAAATATTTTATACCTTTATTTACTCCACCAGCTGCCTGTGTCTATATCGAAGTCATATTTTCGGGCGTCGGCTGGGAATCAGGCTGAGTTTGTTGCCACTCCTCTATTATTCTGTGATACCCTTCCTGAAATATTGTTGACAAATATTATACAAATGAATTAATCTTAATCAAGAATAAAGATAGTATTGTTAGAATCTTACATATGTCTCTGATACATGCAGTTCGACCCATGTTTCTCTTGTACCATCCTTCTTCTTCTTCTTCTTATGTGTATCCTCAAAGACAGTAGCATGAGATACATCTCCCCCATGTGCCTTTTCCTTTCAAAATAAAAAATATGAGTTTATTACTTGAATCTCATATAAGTAAAGCTAAGAAAAATCTTATAAATAACTTACCAATCTCAATCGATGGGCCACAAAACTAATTGAACCTTCGGTGTGCAATGAGCCACCCTTACTGGAGGCTCTGTTTACCTTCCTTTGCCTTTTTACTCCTCTTATTTCATTCTTCAGTATTCCACTTTGTCAGTAGTTGATTCCAGATATCTTCACGCAACCACAAAGACCTGCTCCCACCTTTCCGAGCAACAAAGTTAGTATCTTTAATCCTTTTCTGAGCTCTCTTCTCGAAATTGTCATTCACCAGATTTTCATGTTGAGGCTGCCATGCACACTTAGCCTGCAATTAAAATAAATGTTAGACAAACATAATAAATATTATATAAATTATATTTATTCGTATCTTAAATTGAAACCACATATTCAATCTGATTTGGTATGGAATATCTCTCAAGGAATTTCACGATTCATGGGGAAATGGCTTCTTAGCTTCCACAACTATATGTGTGGCTTGAAAGAAAAACCTGCATTATATATAAAATAAACATTCGTTAAATATATGTAGATCTTTATTCTAATAATTAAAATTAAAGAATTACTTACTCGTCCCCATGGGGTACGATAATCAATCAATGCATATGATCGTACTCTACAGTCCCACCAGCATACTGTCTCT